TCAGTAGGCCAGTTTCTCGCTGTCCACAGACAGGCGCATTTGTACACACACACGTTTCGATATAATTCGGCGTATCGTTGTCTAGCACCAAGTACGTCACCTCGCATTTATCGTAGTACAAGGTCCACGTCAGCCAGTTCTGAGATAAAGTACGCCATTCTGCACTCTCATACTGATCACGGAACCAATGAGCACAATTTAACATCCGTCTGTATGAGCTGTGGACTTTTTAAGATTTGTGTACTTTGTCACTGATGTCCACTCATTGAATTCAAAGGGCCATAGCTCGTTTCGGAAGCACGTGTGCGTGTCTACGACAGTTCTGCTTCACTTTAGGCCACATAATTCACCATCTGATTTTGTGCACTTTTTCCGAAACACTCTGTATTTATTTATTCGTGGTGTGGTTAATGAAGCTGTAAATCAGTAGACCTATGGTGTCGAATGGGAAGATGATTGATAAATAATGAATGTGAAAAGATATAAAGAAGCATATTTTAGGTTGATTCCAGCATTTTCCTGGGAGAACTTAGAAAACCACAAAAAAAAAACATGTCAGCACAGCTGGTATAAAGACCGAGATTTGAACCTGGAAATTCTCAGTACGAGTCAGGAGTATTAACTACTAGACAACGACATTCAGTCATAGAAACTCGTATTTGACTTTATGCAAAGCTGAGAACCAACCCTGCGCACAGACAGACCGACAGATGAAATGAAACAACCTCTTCTGTATGCAATCACTTCTTGCGAAGATCGCTTCGTGCTCTGAACGCAAGTGGAATCATCTTCATGCCGTGTTTGAAGGGTAAAGTTTCACATTAATGAAATCCATGAAAGTGGCTGACAATAGTTGGTTCTCTCCGAGTTTCAATAAATTACGCAAAAAATAATCTAACATGCTCCACGTCCATCTCTCTTTTTGTGGGGCACAAAAAATGTAGTGTTTTGTAATCTGCACAATTCCATATGTTATCGAAACGTGTGCCCTAAATATGGAGAACAGCGCAGATGCTGCTGACATAAAGTCATGATGACGTGTTTCGACACGCAAGACTGGAGTTCTAGTTCTGACCGGTTTCCACAAATTAAGTCTTGTTTAAGTGGGCTTAGAAAGATGATATCTGTTTTCGGACCCAGCTCAAAAATAAATAATATCATCACTTTTCTGGTGATATTATTATTGTAAATGTTCACACACCATCTGAAGATAAGGATAAAATGAAAAGTTTTTATCGAGAATTAGAGCGTGTATTTGATCAGTTTAGTAGATACCACACGAAAATGTTGCTAGGACATTTCAATGCTAAAAATGGTCTTGGCGATATTTTCAAACCAACTACAGGGAGTGAGAGTTTACATTAATTTAATAATGACAATTGAGTACGATGAGTTAACTGTGCCACATCCAGAAATCTGATCGTCTAAGATACAACATTCCCACATTTGATACTCATAAGTATACTTGAACTTCCCCAGATGGGATGACCCGTGATGAAATTGATAATGTTCTAATCCACTGCTTCCCAAAATTTTTCCTTCATTCCCCAAAACCGCTTATCAGAAAGCAAAACACTAACTGCACAGAAAACATCTTTATTTTAAACATCTCTAAACATTTTAGCAGCCACAAAAAAAAAAGATTTGGTAATTATTCACCATGAATATTTTATCACCCAGGTCCCAGCTAATGAGTACAATGCCACTGCTCCATCTTATTTACTAGTAACACAAAATTGGGAACAATTGGAGACAGAGCACACCTTACATCCTATTCAGGGTTCAGCAAACAGTTTCGTTTTGTGCTCTTTATGAAGTCAAGAGTGGAAAATCCTACTTCACACGTTAGGTGCTCGGAAACTGCAATAATAGCATCACGGCCTCCCCAGCTACCACAGGATATTCATCGTGAATTGTTAACCAGAAAGACTCCAAATGGTCCTTTTTTTCTTCAAATAACATTTTGCACTGACTGCTTGACCTAAGCTCCATCATTTGCTCTGCAAAACCATTAACACTATCGGGGATTTCAGTCAAGTCACACAGAAATGGATGTGTCGTTACCCAAAGAAAAACCACTTTCACCAACTTTTTGGTAATTCACCCAGGTTTGGGAACCACTGTTCTAATCGATCGGAGGAGACAAACATCGTAGACGTGCGATCTCATAGGGGAGCGGACTGTGATTCTGGCCATTATTTAGTGACTGAAAATTTGAGGGTAAGAATATTGGCCAGAAAAGAGACTGGGCAGGTGTACAGGACTGAGAAATTCAACGTGGAAAGACTAATTGATGTAGAAACTAAGCAAGAATATCAGCTAAAAATTTCCAATAGGTTAGCAACCCTGCAAAACGTTGAAGAGAATACAGCGAACAGGGAAATAGACGACAATATGACCTGGGAAAATATACGGGATAACATAAAAATTTAGGCTGAGGATAGTGTAGGATATCATAAAATTTTGCGAAATAAAGTATGATTTCATGAACAATGCTCTATAATGGTAAGACAGAGGAAGCAGGTTTCATTGCAATGGCTGCAGACCCGTACGCGAATAAATAAGAACAGGTATGTCAGCGTTAGGCACGAAACCAGCAGAACTCTGAACTAACAGGAAAAATTAATACATCAGAGGCTTAAGTAAATTTAAGTAGGGGTAGAAACCTAGGACATTTGATCAAGGACGAGAATGGGGATCTGCTCCTGGACTCACGTGGCATCGTAGACAGATGGACCACTTTACCCAAAGCAAAGAGCTTCCGTTGAGTAGATCTAACAGTGTCTGAGTGAAACTCATCGTAGATTAGGTTTAACTTGTGACAACACTGATCAGAGCCCAGGTTACCGCGTTCGAATTAATTATTAATAATACGTTTTTTCTAAAATCTTATAAATTGTGTTTAAACAGCGCAAAAATTGAGAAATTTTAGCAGGTTTTGAAACACTGAATGCAGCTAACTCAAGATCGTGTTCAAGGGCGGACTTTGGCGTTAGTGACTGCCATTTGCTCCGCTGGTGAGCGTTGACCCCGAACGCCCAGCGAGCGTCACATTCTGCACATTCACGTTTGACCTACTCAGATCGGGTCAGGCGGGTGGTGACTCCCATGACAGAATGTTATAATAATAGACAGGTTATACTTGTGTCGAGAAAATTACAGAAAAATTAATTGAACGATATTTTGCAACACTCAACGTTATTTCCTACAGCCATACTGTCGTCAGAAGGGTTGGGAGGGGGGAGGGGGGCGACGTCATCTTATGGAGTCCGTGATTCGTTTTACGTCAGTACATACAGAAAAATTTCCTGCAGCGCAGTTGCTGGGGATTCCCAGTCCTAGGGATCATTTCGCATCAGTAAGTTGTCTGATGCTTTTGGTCTCCGTGGATAACGGAGGAGGGGCATATGGCAGAACGTCCATATTTTAATCGGGAATTTGCCACATCACGTGCTCCAACTTTTTAAACTAATTGTGTTACTGCTGCCATGGCAATCAGAAGGAGTAAATGCATTTATTTCCACATCAGTCCACGTCTTTATTGCGCGTCAGCAGTCTTTTGTCTTCAGTTTCCAATCAAGCGATGGGAGTCCTGGACTCATGTTTCTGTTTCAAACAAATAAAACACTAAAACCCCACAGCGACTTAAATTGGTCGCTCCAAAAGTGAAAAAAGACATGAGACATGTAATGCTCCTTTAGTATTTTGTGGGTACTTATAAAAATAACACGAGTCCGAAAATAACTTTAGCTTATAAGTCAGCATGCAAAAAATGTTGAACTGAAAAATTAGATACTTGCCAGTTACTATTGGTGTAAAAAATCAAGAGTAAAACAAATTGTTTTTGCTAACATTTTTCTCTCTCATAAAAGTGAGTTTTGTACGCTTATGTGGCTTAACAAATAACCGATTCATTTGAAGTTCGGATTTTGGTATTGAGTTTCTATGCATACATGCACAAACAAATGAATGAATGTATGAACTGTATGTATATGCAAGTTCATTTATAGCAAACTTCGTCTTTCGTTTCTTAGGTGATGATAGGCGTGGAGATAACGCACTAAGCATTCATAACATCGGTCCCTACTTATAAATTCAGCTCACAAAACACCAAGTTTACGCCCTCCTTACTAACCGGGTAGGTGGCAGGGTGAGCTGGAGAACTGGTCTGGATACGTTGGTAGCAAAGAAAATTATTTCTGCCCCTGGTGGGATCCAAACCCAGTTCACAGTCAGTTGCTCGTAATGTATGTATAATAAATTCTAATATCATCCTTGCATCTGCGCCTGTGTGACCCAAGTTGTCTCTTTCTTTCCAGTGTTCTTTTTCTGCTATCATTGTTCCATGTTGCTTATAAAGCCCCAACAAAATCACTGTATGTAAAGTGTGCCTATACAAATTATTAAACTTCTAGTCATGTAATTAACTGTCTCTACTTTCGGGAACCTGTTGTTTCATCCCTGTTCAATTCCAATATTTTCCTCAACATTTTGCTTCCAAGTATCCCTATTTATACATCCTTCCTTCTCAGTGAGGGATGCAGTTTCATTCACATACAAAACAAGTATAAATGTCATGTACTAATTTAATTAACTTTCATATTTATGGCTTCTATTTTTCAAAAAGCAAATATCGTACAGTAATTAAATTGCCTGCATATTTTATACAAAGCTTTACAAGAAGCATTTTGTAGAATTTATTGAACACCGATTGCAAAACTTTAAATGCCTAGGCCACTGGAATCTGATGGAGTTTCAAAAGAAAGAAACATGCTGACAGCATGAACAGTTACAGGAATGTGAAGGTTTACTTCATGGATGGTGTATTTTCACACACACACACAAAGGGTAAGAAAGAAAGATGCGCTCTGAAATACCGATTGTCGGGTAGGAGATTTGTAGTGCTTAGGTAAAATCTCAATAGATGGCATTGACATACTGATATGTACTGCATGAGATGTAATGATCACAATTAAACATTATGAATTATGAACTGGAAGGACTGTAGAAGAATGAAGCTAGTACTTGGAAGGATTGGAAAAAAACTACGAAAAATAATTTTTCAGATAGGAAGTCTCCAGATTCAGTTTCATCCTGGGGATCACCAAATACAAAATGAATACGAAGTATACCACATTTGATACGCAACATCATACAAACCTTTTCTTAAAAATCAGAATATGCAAAATGTAGTACAGCAGATTCCGGTTAATAGGGCAATCGGTTGATCGGGGCAGCCATTTATTTGGGACAAATCTTAAAGAACAAACTTTTTTAACTCTTTACGTAGAACTTCGCATAATTGGGGCAGCCGCTTAATTCGGTCAAAGTGTTCTAGTCCTGATGTATCCCAATTAACCGGAATCCACTGTACTTTATAAGCTGCTAATTATTTAATGCCATTTTACAAATGAGAAAAAAAGAAGCTAGTTTCAACACGTGCTTGTACATCAACCATGTACATGACACAGAATGTCCACGATACTTTTCTGAAAGCTTCCACATCACAAGGCCTGAATCAACCATTAGAGGCTAGGCTTAAATAAAATCAGCTTAGGCACCAAAAATTTAATTCAATTGCGCTGTATTAATTACTTTGTTTATGTAACAGCCAAGCACATTCCTAGAAGAACAGTGTTGGTAACATCATGTATCTATACCATGGAGAAGGCCAGAAGGTTCCTTTGGTGCCAGTAGGTCATAAGTCCTATTCCAGTCTTCTTGTTCTTGTGTAAACGGCAAAAGACATTCCATTTGGCTTGCACAACAATGCTTGCTTAGTTGTGTTACTGTAAAATGGCATTCCAGATTCTCTTAATTTAACGAACTCCATGAAGTGTATATTCTACCTCTTAATTCTCAATACAATTGCAGGTTTTTGGCAGATCAGAAAGTTGTAACTCCACAAGAAACTGCTGATCAGAATGCAATATGTAATAGATCCATAAAAACTATGAAACAAGAACACTTTGGGTTCAAAAAAGTGTTAGCTAAGGAAGTTATAAAACAACTGAACATTTGGGGGAGGGGGGAACCCAAGAAGTTGTGTGTGAAGCACTTGAAGCTCTACCCAAAAGAGAGAAGTGACTTGATGGCAACTTGTGAAGAAAAATGGACACACCACTACACTTGAAGCAAGAGAGTGCCATGATGAACAAAGCAACTAAGTTCACCTACACCAAAGAAAAAGGCCTTCTGGTCAGTTTTAGTGTGAAAAGAAGTGATTCTTCAACAAGGTACTACCTTCACATACTGCCCTGAATAACCATAAACAGGGACTGATGTAACAGCAGTTCTCTAGAGTGAATCTGGAAGATACTCAGTTCAAATCTTGGCCAGTTACTGGCTACATGACTGGTGTTTCTCATGGTTTTCCTCAGTTTCATCAGACAAATTCTGTAAACATACCACAAAAGAGGCCATACCAACTCCTTTAAAACTTTTATCTATTCACCAATCATAATCTTCCCACTTATGCAGTTGAAACAGTATCATTAAATACCCTAAGAAAAATAAACTGTTGAAATATAAAGTTTTATTCAAAACAATATCAATCAACTAAACATTCAATGTCACAAGCCTAACATTCATATTGAAAATTAACGAAAATGACAACCCAGTACAGCTATAAATACAAACTAGGTAACCCTCGATTTATGCTGGACGAACCGGCATAAATTGAAACTCTTTTTATAATGTAAATCAATGGGAAGTCAATGACATGCGCACCCAGTACCCAAACATTGACGAGTAATATAATGGCATTGCATTTAAAGCTCTGAAATAACGTAAATAAAATAAAGGGAATTTAAACAATATATTTTATACACTTATAATCGGCAATTCGTTGGTCCCCGCGATTGACTGTGATTCTTTCATGTGACTGATGTGTACAGTCATCTCTGCTGTTATGCGATAGTTGCATTCATGTAAGACGCCAACCTATAGAAAAACGTGTAGTAAAAATAACCCCAGTACCTCCGCATAAATTAAATTTGCCCTTTGAAAGTTTAAAGCACCAGGAATGAAATTGCATGAGAGCAAACTCGCATTTGCAAAAGTTTGCATTTCACAAACAGCTTTTACCGATTCATCGATTCCATTGGAGCATATTCCCGTTAACAAAACATGCGTAATTGCAGAGATGACTGTATTTATAATTTTTATTCAAAATCAGCGATGTAAGAATTACGATTTAGTATAAGAATCAGTATGAGAAACATTTTAAAACGTTATAAATAATAGTAAAATATATTTTTTTCACTTGTAACTTGCTGGTTTCAAAAGTAGCGTTATTATGAATCGGCGCAAATCGAGGGTTACCTGTACTATGATAAAGAATGCTCAGTGCATGTCCAATTGATAAAAATCTGGTCACCTCAGGCTAAATATACTTCAGCATTACAGAATATCAGTCAAAATTCTTAATGAATTCCTATGAGTTATAAAGAAGAAAAATTTAACTGTACCATCTTTAGTGTACAAAAAATTCAGTCAAGTATGCAATGTGAGTGAGTGATGAAAATGGCAAACATGCCCATATCATGTCAAGATGCAGCAATTGGACAGGTTTGTCATCCCACACTCTGTCCTGAACCTCAAATGATGGTGCTTTCCACAGTGGCATGTGATACTTGTCGGTACTGTCTTGCCTTCTGCTGAAGCCACGTACTCTTACTCAGGCAAGGCAACCCTTGAAGGTTTTGAAACATTCGTGTCTTATAGGACCTGAAACATCATGATCTTGGTGGTCAGTGTTGTTGTAACAGAAAATGTAAGGTTGGGGGGCCTTAAACTGAAACTCAAAAACATGCGATATTAAGTTTTTAAGATATGAGGTTTGCACAGCGGTGAGTATGAAGATTTCTGTCTTCTGGGTTGTTGCGCTGTGTAGTCTGGTCGATGTTTACCAACGTTTCAGAGGTCATACTGCCTCCGTCATCAGGGCGATGAATGTGACCAGACTACACAGTGCAACAACCCAGAAGACAGAAATCCTCATTAAGTTTTTAGTTACAGTATGATGTAATAAATTGTTTTCTGACTTTAATGTGTCATGGCAATTTACTGTGTTCTGAATAAAAGTTCTGAAGACAGAACACTTGGGCTATGAAATGTGGTATATCCAATTGGAGGCCTTGGAATCAGTGGTATTTTACATGGTTAGTGTTCTGTGACTTTGACTTCTATCCTAACAATTTCTATATCCTATAATTTGTAAAATAAAATAAATAAAAATACTTCTGTATAATGATTATTAACCAACTGAAGTTCGTTGTATAGCCAAGTCTCCAAACATTGTACATCAACATTTCAGACAACGCATAATGCCCAACATAATCATGTAATTTACAATTCAACTACTGTCACAAACCTTTAGAGAATCATTGCATCACTGCATACAGTTACAAGCAGTTTCACACTTACATGCTTTTAATTCCTTGTACAATTTGATGTAAAGACTTTCCTCCTGTTTCAGGTATAAATAGAAATACAAAGAAGATGGCATTCAAACACACCACACTGTGGCAGAAGAACACTCCCTCTAAAGAGATAGCACCTGCAAAAGTGAAAAATAAAATAAAACAAACATGATTTAGAATAACAGAAGATAACAAGTAAACAATTCTGGATCTAAATTTTATGTAGAGCCCTGTACACATAAAGGTCTATAAATGATAGTAAAACTAAATTAGTCACTTACTTATCTATAATTAACAAGAGATAAATATTTATAAAGCCGTATAAACTTGTTCTCCAGCTAATGAATTGACATAGACTGGCTCAATACCATCTTCACTTCAAGAACTGCAGCTTCTAGTTCGTCACAGCTCCCATCACCTTTGAAGCTTTCATGCCCCATAATGGTTATTCCCAGTACAATTAATAGTTGGATTACTGCTTTACCCTAACTAGAAACCACAAGTGGCTATTCTAGTTCAAACAAATAAGGCCAATAATTTTACTTAGAACATAACAATCGCAAGACACTATCCCTCTACTTTTTATTTTAAAGACAAGTATTTACAAAAAAAAATTATACTTACTTATAAAATATGTAAAAGTAGCAGGAATAATTAAATCTGCAAACCAGTGCAATGAAGTGGTCAGAGAGACAGCACGTCCCTTCACGGATGCTGGAAATATTTCTGTCAGTAGAAGCCATGTTACTGGACCAAATCCAAAAGAATATGCTATCTCATAACAGATCAAGGCAAACAGAGCAAGATAGCGCAGTGATGGTGAAAGTGATGTGTCTACGGATACTGGACACCAAGGCGATTCACTGGCATACGGATCACCACCAACTAGAGATACTGGTGTGGGCAGTAGTGGAAATGGTGGTGGAACTCCTGTTGGCAACAATGGAGATGACATTCCAATTCCAGCAGCATAGTGGTAACTTCTACCAGATGGTAAAACAGGCACAGATTCTCCCATTTCCATGTTCCCACAAGGCTTCACAGCCGGATTAAGTGATAAATCCACCTCATTTTCTTCCATAGCAGAAATCAGGCCTAGCAAAGCAATGCTAGTCATCATACATGTGACTCCCACAATCAGAGATGGTCTTCTTCCAATTTTATCCACGACACACAGTGACAGAGACACAGCACCTACCTGAAATAAGAGGATGAGTGAAAAGGTGAACTCCAGTAGTGTATATTATTTTTGAAAATGTGTTTTTTGTAGTTTTGCATAATTCACTAACTATGATGTTCATTTATTGTAGACAGGATTCCATCACTGCAGAACTAGTCATTTAACAGATACCACCCAGCACAGTCAGATATAACTGCATTTTAAATAAAAGTTGTACTGTAGATCTTAACAAGAACCATATTCTTATCATGTCCTGTATGATCATGAACTGTAGGAGGTTATGAGCTACTGGCATGTAACTAAGGTGTGAGGTAAGGAATACATACAGAATTTTGGTGGGAATAACTGTTAGAAAATGAATACTTGGAAAACCAAAAAGGATAATACCATCAAGACGGATGTTAGTAAAACAAGTTGTGAGGGTGAGAGATACATGGACTGTGTCCAGTGGCACACCTTGGTATTAGCAACATTGAATCTTCAGGTGCTACTACCAGATACAGTAAAACCCCTCAAATTGGAACCGGCGAATATCCTATAATTTTACATGTCCACAATACCCTATATCTTGGACACCCCTTTATCCTGGAACTTGAACACCCTTTTTGTTGTAAGTTAAACAGGTTCATGCGCTTAGCTTCAGTAGCTTTTCAGGGAAACTTTTTCAGTTACATGTTTTGTTATTTTGAATTTCTGGCTGATGAATGCCTCCTCTCTGGAGGATTATCTTATGGACATTGAACCCATCATTAGAATGCATTGAAGGTGTTTAACTATTCTTTTGCTGAAAACCTTAACTGGACTACAGTATTGCAGAAGACAGTGTTAACTTCATCAGTACTGTGCTTGCATTTGAGTTCAGACTGTGTTAGCAGCTTTGGCATTTTTCTTTTTGTGACGGGGAAGCAAAAATTGGTGGAATTAACTTTAGAAAATGTTATTGAGGTTGGGGTTTAATATGCAATGCATGGGAGTGGGCTTCAAAAGATTGTTATTAATGCTATTGTCATTAATTCTTAATTCAAGTAAGCCTACAGTAGTTAGTGTA